CTAAATTTTAACAAAGGAGAAGGTCTGCAACCCGCCCACCTCCATACAGCTGTAGTTTGTTTGCTGGATGATGTTAACGAACCCTACAAGTTTAACTTTTATTGTCATCTGTCAAAAAAAAGGGGGGAGGGGCTGGATGAGATGTCTGTGTGTGTGTGTGTGTATGTGTGTGTGTGTGTGTGTGTAACTGTGTGACTGAGTAATGAGACTGATTTCTAGTGTGGCCCATAAACCAGCTTTGTAGGAATTTTGAAAAAAATATCTTGGTAATAGGATAAACATTTATACTTTAGAACTTGTTAGACATTTGGATTATAAAAAGCCTTTTGTGTGCATGAGTCATGCCTCCATTATTTCTTGATTATAAACTTGGCAATGGAGAAGTGTACTAATCCTGTAATGGCCACTAAAGAATAATTTTTTTACATTACATCCAGTGCACATGGAATATGGTCAACACTGCCTCTGCCTAGAGAGCAGTTTGAATAAACAAGCTGAAAGTTTAATGTTTTCTAAAGTTTCTTATTTCTATTAGTCATGTTGTTAACTAAACCAGAGGAATACCTATCATTATTATGACATACATTCTGAAATGACTAACTGTATATGCATGTATGAGTATGTCTTAAATATAATGCCATCTAAAATAAGTCTTTATCTATTTAGATGTGTATGAATTTGTTAGGTTATTAGCCTATATAATCTGTTGGGTTAAGAGTCAAGCCATATATCCTAATTTGAATCTACACTAATAAAAGGGTAATATGCTAATTAGACTGGGAGACCTTCCGGACAAAGACATGGTGGTGGGGCTGAGGCAGTGGTGGTTAGGGGCAATCAGGCCGGCAGGGGAAGAAACAGTTGGGGGCAATCAGGCCGGCAGGGGGGGAAGTTGGGGGTGAGCAGGCTGGAAGGGGGGCAGTTGGGGGCGAGCAGGCTGGCAGGCAGGGTGGTTAGGGGTGATCAGGCAGGCAGGCGGGTGAGCAGTTAGGAGCCAGTGGTCCCAGATTGCGAGAGGGATATCCAACTGCTGGCAGTCAGACATCCCCTGAGGGGTCCCAGATTGGAGTGGGTGCAGGCCCAGCTGAAGGACACCCCCCCTCCCTGTGCACGAATTTAGTGCACCAGGCCACTAGTATGTATATAATGATGATTAGAAATTGTGTTTTCAGCAAATAAAATTACCATATTTTATCATTCATTAAGTGCTTCATGGACACTTGAGAAATAAAATTTTAAAATTTCTCAGTTAAAAATATAAAAATATCGATCATTTTGTTAAGGTCCAAAACAGTTCTAAGAAGCTAGGAATCTCCACAATGCTTAGTCTCTACAGATTACCTTCTGAGCATCATACTGCCCTATTGAGATGCTGTATCTTTTTTTCAATTTCCTCTAAAGTCTTTGTATATTTAAGTGAAATCAGAAATATGTGAAGATCCAGGTGTTGTTTTCTTTCATAATAATAGAAGTTATTCAGGGAGGATCAACAATTTATAAATTTATGAGATTGCATAGGATATGATTACTAAAATTTTATATTTCTCCATGTTTCTAATACTTTAAATTAATAATCAAATTGAAAATGTTGGACTAAATGTGTTCCTTATATATTCTCTCATATACTTCCTTATACATTCCTTGGATGGCCTTGTATAAATGAATGAACAAATAAATGCCATACATGATTCTTACCAATAATATGAAGATTGTGTGAAAAGTCTAAAAACATAGGGAAAATATTTTACCTATTGTGTTTTTTCAGAGTAATAACTGGCTTAAATTTAAAAATGCTTCACCTATAAAAGAATTTGGGAAGTAAAGAAAACCACATCCACATCTTGATTTTATTTTTACTTTACATGGTGGAACTCAGCTGCTCAGAATTAGACTAATTATAATATTTGGTTCATGTCATTCTCTCATCATTTGTCTAGATATAGCAACCTTTATTCATTTAAAAAATGATTTAATTATTTGTTTTTTCATAGTGGAATAATCATCCATAAATCCACTGTCCAAAACAAAAGCTAGGACTCCAGCAACAGCCCACATCCAACCCCTGGCTCCCCCACCAATCTATCCCCCTCCTCCTTCTCACCCAAAGGATCCATCAGCCAGAATCTTATGTTCATTGTTCCTTTGATCTCATTTTAATGGTATGTAAATCAGTACAAAGTAATTAGTCACAAAATGATATGTCTTACTTTGAGCTAATTTTTTTCTTACTCTTCTCTCATATCATTGTAGGCATGGTTAGGACTGTGATATATAGTCATTATAGCCACTATGTTCTCTTCTAATATTCTACCTCCCTAGGCAGGATGTCAGGGTGTGTGATCATGTATTTACTCTAAGCTCTCCAGTCATTCATTCTTCCTTACTCTAGAAACCTCATCGCATCCCAAGTGATTTTAAAAATATCTAAAAGATTTCTATTGACTACTTAGGTTTACAAAATGTTCTATTTGATCAAAATATGCAATGCCATATGGACATATTTACAAACACATAACCAATAGATTGCAAAAGCACACAGAACTGACCCAAGTGATTAAGTATTTTTAAAATCGATTCAACTAGATTTCTGGATTTTCATGTTCCTTTCTCATAAGACATTTAATTAAAATGCAAAGTCATGTTTAAGGTTATTCTTAGACATCTAAAATGAAGGACTAATGAATGTCCTTTCAATTGGAAAAGAGCGAGGACAGGAAAGAAATCCTGAGGCAAAACTCCTCAGTGAGCAAAAGCAAGGTAAGTGTGATGATGATTCCTGGTATTTACTATCCTTTGTTAAGATACATGGACTTTCTAAGAGGAGAAAAGTGAGAGTAGTGGTAAAAATGAGGTGGAAACATACAAATATGATGATGAAACCTTCCTTCCCCCTCCTCCTCCTCTTCCTCCTCAGTAACCTGGACAGTAGCATTCAGTAACACAAAGTGAGTTTAAAAATGTGGTATGCATTGTTCATGGAATAGCAACTCTCATTCTGAATATAGATATTTAAAAGCATCATGCATGTTTAAGAGGGCTTAGTTGAAACTCTATGTATTTCTGATTATGTTTATTTCTCAAAATGATGTAGAATTACTGAATTTGCTAACCAGAAAATTCTTTCATAGACAGTGCAGTGTTTAACCTTTCCTTTCTTCACTTGTCTTTAATTCCTACTCACTCTCAACTGAGTTGAAGTGTTTATATTTAAACAGAACACCCACTGGAACTCTAAAGAAATTGACTCACTCATTTTTTAAGTTGCGGATTTTGGTATTTTTTTTTACAATATTCAATATGCATTACAATGTTATAAACATTTTCATTTCTTTAGCCTATTGAACTCTAGTGACCCTTAAAGGTGACTTTTACAACGTAATGCTGCAAATATTGACATAGGAGAAAATAATGTGAAATAGTTCAAGGATAAAATCAGAGATGGAGGAGTTCTTCTCAAACATTAATATGGCCATGAATTCATTTACATATGATCTGTAAGCTGGAAGAAGTTATGAATAATATAATGATAAAGAGCTAACAACCTAACAAAGGTAAAGACCTATGGCCTTTTTCCCATTTGGGCGTACATTTTTCCTTTCCTCACTGAACCAGCATAGGCCATTTCAAAGAGAAACTAATGGAAGCGAAAAACAAACGTTTAAGGCAAGTGCTCACCCAAGCAGGACTCCCCATGTAAGATACCCCAAAGGAACTCTAATTCTTTTACTAACAGGACACCTGAGTCTCCTTTGATAGAACAGAGAAGCAGAGCCCAGCGAGAGACCTGCGGTGAAATAGTGCGGCCTCTGGTGAGGAAGAGAGATGCTTATATTTCTCACAAGATTTCGCGCCCTTAGTCGCAGGCCTGATGGAAGCTGGAGCCCTCCACCAATTGTGGTTCCAACTCCACGGCTCCGGATGAAGCACAATGGGCGGGCGTGGGCCGGGAGCAAGTTCCTCTTCTCCAGCCCTTCCTGTCCGTGTTCACCAAAGTGTTAGGGTATTTAAGGTCCTAAAACTCCCTAACCTTTCCCCCCTGAAGTATCGACTTTCTTTCCCCCCTGCTCTTAGCAGGGTGTTTGACCTCCTGGTCGACTGCGTTGCCTGCCCCGCGCCAGCTGTGTTCCTGACCCCAGAATAAATCAAGGCTGCACCGGCCCTGGCAGAGCTCCCGGCACATTTCCTGTCTCGGCCTAAGGGAAGCCTGTTTGCCGCCAGGACACTGGTGGGGATTCTTGGAGGTT